AACTTTTCTTCTCAGTTTAACCTAATCTACTATAATCTTTGGGGTCGTCCATATCGAATCTGACACCCTGTATAAGATATCTTGTTAACTGTTGTGACTGTCTTGTTGATTCCACCAATCGGACGTATCTCGTTGCGACATGACAACCTAAGTCTTCGCATCAAATCGGATGTTACCAAATTTGATTGTGATCCCGGATCCAGCAGCGCTCGACAGTACCGCTCTTCACCGTCTGATCCCGATACGCGAACCTTTGCAGTGGAAAGAACCACTCTGGTCCCGTTATGGTTGGCGCAATAAACATTTGTTGTGAGATCGCACTTCGCGATTGGTGATTGTTGTTTATTTGACAACTCGACCTGTGAATTGAGTCCTGCTTTCGTACAATTCATTACAACTGACGCTGTTGAATTCTCGCAGGCTTGCTTTGCTTGAACGTCTCCTTGCTCCTCTGCAACATCTTCGTGAATAATTGAGTTGTGTTTTTTGTTACACTTCTTGCATGTCGAGGCCTTACATTCTCGAACAAAATGACCTGAGCCGAGACAGTTAAAACATAACTTCTTCTCCTTTAGCTTTTTCTTGCGATCCGTTATCGACAATTCTTGAAAATTGCCGCACTTGAAAACCAGATGAACGCCTTCGCAAATTTTGCATTTAGTTGTCACGGAAACCAAAGCTATCTTTCGCTCGTTCCCTTTCGTGCCATGATTTGATTGCTTCTCTACAGGCTTCGTCCGACCCTGCTCGAGAACCTTGATTGTGACATCGTTCGGTTAAGAATGCGAGGAATTCCGATAATTTAGGCATGTTTTCCTGCGTTCTCTTCTTTATGAGATTTTGCCAATCTCTTTGTTCACCATAATCTAGCCTCTTCTTTGCAAGATGCATCAAAATGGCGTCCCATGCATTGACTGGTAATGATAGCGTCCTTAGTGCAGACACATGTGTTTGAATGTGCCAAATAAACCGTCGCATTGAATCCGATTTATTGTCCTTCGTTATCTCTGGAAAGTTCAATAACTCCTCTAAATGATTTTGAATAATTACCGTATTGTTATCATACGTATCTTTTAACAATTTCCAGGCGCTTTCGTAGTTCTCGCTGGAAATCTTGAATCCTAGGATGATACTGCGGGCTTCTCCTTGAAGCAATCCGATAAGGTATTGGTGTTTTTGTACAGCTGTCAGACTATCGTCCTGGTGAATAGTCGTCTCGAAGCTATCCTTAAAGAATGACCACTGGGTGTAGTCTCCGTTGAACTCTGGGAGCTTTATCTCCGGCAGTTTTGGTCGGCGGTGTGTGACTTCGGGTGTTCCTTCTCGATTTTGCCTTGAAGCTTTTGCGGTTATTTGTGTTCGAGCCTCGCGTTCTTGTCGCCCAATTATTTCTTGAGCTATCGCAGCTGCCTTGTAATAGAGGTGTTCGAATATTTCTCTTTCGGGATTGTTTAGCTCGCTTAACTCTTCCTCTTCCTCAGGAAGGTCTACTTTGTCTTCAATTATGCCCTGCACTTCTTCGAAACTTTTGAAATACTCTTCTAGTTTTTGCAGTCTGACCTGCGCTTCTGCACTAGTGGCAGTACCTGCCTCTAAAAAAATGCATTATCCGAATAACTTGCCCCTTTATTTGAGCTCTACGTTGTTTTAGTTTACGCTTGTCTGTTTCCATGTTGTATAATGATAATGTACCGATCTGCTGACCTTTTGTTGTGGCGACTTTCTCTCGCTTCCTCCGTTAAGATTAAGTATGCTTCTTATGCTTCTGCGTTACCTCGATGATCGCCTCGAGCCCCTACGTTGGGCGCCAATATGTTAATAATAACAATTGCTTCAGGTTCTATCGTTTATTAAGACCGAGGCGTCTTTTGGCAATACAGTTTTCTTTATCTAACTGACGCTCTGATGTAACGAACAACTCAGATTCCGTTACTCAAGCACGAACTCTCACTCTAACTAAGATCCGCGCAAGCGCAGAAGGAATAGGCCCGCGAATGCGCATAGGCATGAACACATCTTTTTTTAATCAAATATTAAGCCTAAATGTTTGCATTGTTGAATAGGAATCGTAAGACTTTTCCTTTTTTTCTTTTCAGTAATTATGAAACCTAACTCCTGTAACAGAGTAGCTGTTTTTTTTAAATTATCAAGACATCTTTCGTACGATCGTTCAATAATTAAAATATCATCCAGGTAAAAAACCGAAGTAAGCCCGCGCTTTCTTAAGCATGCTGCTACCGGTTTCAACAGTTTTGTGAAAACATACGGTGCCACGTTAAGACCGAAAGGTAGGCAAGTAAATTCAAACAAGTCGTCTTTGTATAAAAACCCCAAAAATTGTTTATCCTTTTTCTTTATAGGTACGAGATAGTATGCGTCTTTTAAGTCTAGCGTTGCCATATAGTCTTGGGAACCGATTAATCTTTTTGCGACTTTCCAGTCTGTTCGCGGCGAATGAGCGGTCATTTGTATTAGCCGGGTTACCGGCGGAGCGGCGTTGCCACGGCATGGCGTAAGTGCTTGGCGGCGCCGGCTGCGCGTGCGCAGCGTAGACGTCTATCCTGCTCGGCACTTTGAAACGTTATGGTAAAAGGTCAATAATGTTTATAAGATTCTTATTACTTTGTCATACATTTTCGATAAATTGTCTGTGTCATTTTGAAGGTTTATTGTCTTGTTATTCTTTTTAATGAGAACCATTTCAGCAATTTCTCTTTTCTTTGTCTGTTTTTCTCTGTGTAATATTTACAAACAATTACGTTGCACTAACGGCAACCTCCCTATGTGTTACGGATTACCAAAAGTGCATAAGACCAACTTTCCGTTACGCATTATCGTATCTACAATAGGCAGCCCAACGTACAAAATTGCTAAATTTCTTGGTGACATCTTACAAAAATCCATCCAGAGACCTAGTTCGCACATTAAAGATAGCTGGACCTTTGTCAAGAAAATAAGCAGAATAAAAATCCGTCCTGACCAGTCACTTGTATCCTTAGATGCAACATCTCTTTTCACAAATATTCCGAAAGAGTTAGTTCTCAGAGCGATTGAACATAGATGGAATTGGATTTCCAAAAACACTAAATTAAACCTACAACAATTTTCACATGCCATAGATTTAATTTTGACCTCCACCAGCTTCCGTTTCAACTCACAATTTTATGACCAAGTTTTTGGAACTCCTATGGGCTCCCCCTATCTCCCATACTAGCTGATATGGTGTTGGATGACCTCGAGACTCATTGTTTGCAACTATTAGATAACCCGTTGACGGCATTCTTCAGATATGTCGACGACATCTTTACTATTGTCCCCACATCAAAGATCAACGAACTATTAAATTTATTCAAAACCTATCATCAGAGATTGAAATTCACCTGTGAAATAGAGACAAACGGATCATTAAGTTTCCTTGACACGATGGTCATTAGGAACGACGACGAGTTGATAACAAATTAGTATAGAAAACCGACGTTTTCTGGCCACTATGTCAATTTTCGTTCCAATCACCCATTTAACTACAAAGCGAACATTGTAACTAATTTAGTCGACCGTGCCATTCTGTTATCCAATGAGCGGTTTCATAATTCGAACATATGCATAGTAAAATCCATTTTTACTAACAACTGTTATCCAACACATATAATCAATAAACTAGTTAATAAGAGACTAAAACAATTAAAACACAGGAATATTACACATGATATGAACAACAATAATGAAACGAATAATTTCTTGTTCAATAAAAACTTTGTAACGGTTCCATACATTAAGGACATAAGCGAAGGCATTCACAGGATTTTAAAAGACCGAGGATTCGATCCCGTGTATACTGTCCCAAAAAAACTCAACTCAGTGATTAAAAAAGGAAAAGATCCACTCATTAACTTGAAACAAACCGAGTTAGTTTATATGCTAGAATGTGACAATTGCGACGCATGTTATATCGGACAAACAAAAAGACAGTTAGAAACACGGGTAAAAGAACACAAATCTAATATTAAAAAAGACGCTGATAACCACTCAGTGATTAGCAAACATCGCGAATTATTAAATCATAACTTCGACTGGTCCAACCCTAAAATATTACACAGAGAAAAACAGACAAAGAGAACTTGCTGAAATGGTTCTCATTAAAAAGCATAACAAGACAATAAACCTTCAAAATGACACAGACAATTTATCGAAAATGTATGACAAAGTAATAATGGTAAAAGCCGAATAGGGGACCCAGCTCCTACGACCTTGACCTTCAAGGTCAAGGTCAAGGTCACCCTCCTGAGTGACCCTCAGAAGGTTTTAGCCGTCGCTCGTTGCTCGTTAAAAAGTTATTAACAAAAAATGTTTAACGATGGTTTTTAATATTTAAGTTGCAAGTGCGTTTAGCACGGCGCGCTGCGCGCGCCCCACCCCCTCCCGCCCCACCCCCGCCCCACCCCCTTCCCCTCTCCCACCCCACCAAGCAACCCATGTTGTGTCTTTATGTGTTTATAACATGAAATTTAAGGCAAACTGTGACTCTAGATGGGTCGGCATATTTATATGTATTTAACCCGGGTTAACTGTTCTGTAAAGCAGATAATTTTCCATCATTTGTAAGTCCATACGCACACAAGAATATTGTGCTTTACAGAAATACGCAAACCCGATACAAAATGTTTCCGATCCCCCGCCCTCCCCCTCCCCCGCTTCAACCCCTCCCCGCCCCTCCCCCTCCCCGCCCCTATAACAAAGGACGGATACTTCGAGGACAGTGGGTTTTTGGCGGTATAGAACGAGGAACGAAAAAAGTTTTTATATTACCTGTACCAAATCGACGGACTGAAACTTTGGTTCCTATCATAGAAAAATACGTTGCAGCAGGATCTATCATTCATACAGACAGTTGGCGTGCATATGATGTTTTGCGTAATCATAACAATTATACAAAGAGTATGGAGAGAAATGCGAGCAAGTATTCCTCGCTATGGTCTACGTGATTACCATTTTGAAAATTATTTGGCCGAATTCTTATTTAAAAGAATACACAATTTCGATGATCGTATTGATACATTTTTTAATATCATGAGTACCATACAGGGTGGGGAAAAAGTACCGGACCGGTGAAATATCTCGACAAATATAGGAGATACGGAAAAATGTTTCAGACAAAAGTTGTACGGTTTTAAAAGGGCTATATAACGGTAAAATAAATTTTCGAAAAAATTAATTTTTTATGGTTATATGGAGGTCGCCGTCATTTTTTTAAATGGAACTCCGTATTGTTTATTATACTATTTTATTCTACTAATTAATATGAACAACTTTTGTCTGAAACATTTTTTGATTTGCCTAATACTTTTTGAGATATTCAAGAGAAAATTTATAACTTTTTCAATGTTTAGCTTATAATCTCTCGATAACTGTTTGTCGGCATTTTTACCGTAATAAGAATCACGGTAGTGTCTCGCGCCAAGTATAACCGACAACAATTAAGCGACAAGCTAAACCACGCGTGCGACACCGACCGTGTAGTTTACGCGAGTACGCGAGTTGACGGGCCCTCAGAATTTCGGATCTCAACAATGGCTGATCCGACGAACTTGAGACTGCGCTTAATCGATAGCTTGGGTACGATTTGCATAATAAAAGTGTTTTTACTTTTCTCGTACGTGCCCCATGAGTGGAGATATTGCAATGCAAAGTCCGCATGTTGGGCAGATTACGTAGGATTACGTATTAAGAACCATCTTCGTCGTCTTGGTCGACAGTCCTTTTCACTTTTCTGCCGCAACGTGGCACTGGCGCTGCTGACGTGACTGACATTACCGATGTTACCGACGCGTAAAGGCCGGTCTAAAATACATGGAGTAAGCTGGAGTAAGGAGTAGGAGTAAGGAAATAAATCCATTTTATATCTTACTCCTACTTCAGCTCTTAGGCTTACTCTCAGTGAAAGAAAATGCCATCAATCAGTGTTACAAATATTTTAAAAATTATGCCCGTATTTCAGCTTCCTTACACCAAAAGCTAGAAGTTAAGGGCTCTCCCTTACTCCTTACTCCACGCTTACTCCACGTATTGTAGACCAGCGCTAACATTACCGACGTTACATTATTACCAACGACTTCCGAAAGCTCGGTTTACCGCCGAGTGCGCGTAAACATGGCAAAGTTGTCAGTGTAAGTGTGCGCGATCAATGAACGTAAACTTAATTCTTGTGCTAGATCTTGGATCGAGATCTCAGTCTGAGAACCGTGTAGTTAATATATTAATATTACCGTTAATATTGCCTCGGACTGAGTACCCGGAAATCTAACATCGTAGACACAAGGTTAATCATCACGAGATACGGTAGTGTTTTGCGCTAAGTATAAGCGTAGCTAGAACCGCGCGCGCAAGACCGACGGGTGTAGTTTACGCGAGTACGCGAGTACGGATTTGACAGGTGTGTAGTTTACGCGAGTACGCGAGTGCGGATTTGACAGGCCCTCAGATTTTTCGTTTAACATATTTGCTTGATTGGCTACACTATTTCTCGGACTGAAGACTCGTATAGAAGTCTAATATCGTGGTTAACGACACAAGGTTAATATCATACAAAACGGACATCGGTTCTTTCGTGGTTCTCTCTCGTAATAATAACCAGCGAGTTACCAGTTAACGGGCATGGTGTCTAGGGTTTATTTATAGTATTTAACACTACAAAAGGTGTGATATCACCCAAAAAACTTACCTTTTAAAAAAAAGGTAAAACAAGCACCAAGTATAAGTTCCAATGTTACTCTATCTCTTCTGCAAAAGTATCTTCTCTACAAAAATATCTTTCCTGCAAAAGTATCTTCTTTACAAAAATATCTTTCCTGCAAAAGTATCTTCTTTACAAAAATCTATATCTATACTACTATTATAAAGAGACAGAGTTTGTCGGTTTGATTGTTTGTGTCCGGTAATCTCCGAAACCAATGGACCGATTGAATTGAAATTTTAACACATGTTTCCTTATCATCTCGGGAGTGTCTTAGGCTATATATTATAGACATTGCGCACCTGGGGACTGCGCATGCGCAAATGATCACACTGTGGACTGCGCATGCGCAAATGATTCTATTATAGACATTGCGCACCTGTTGACTGCGCATTGAATACATTTGCGCATGCGCAAATGATCACAAAAAAATTAACAATATTATTTTGGACACACACGCACAGTCGCGCGCGCATACGCACACGCACACATACTTTATTTTATTGGCAAAGAGAAACACTCACGCGCCTGCACACGCACACACACACACACTTTATTCTAACAAAAATTGTGGAATAACATGTATAAATAGACTACACACCATATATTTCATTGATTAAAGCAAAAATAAATAAAAAATGTTTTATTCTTTTTCGAAAATTTTTGAAAAACATAAATAACTTTAAATTGCCGGGTGTCCCATAGAGGGTAGATAAAGCAAGGCAAACTGAATAGAAAAGTCTTATAACGTATAGCAAAATTCGCAATAGTTATCAAAAAATTAATTTTAATGTATGAGCGAATGAGAGCGCAGAAGGCGAACAATTTAGGCATTGAATTATAAGAGTGGATTAGGCATACTGGGGAAACCACTATAAAAAAATGCACCATGCTATCTACCGCAAGGTGATGAGGAAATGATAGCGCCTCATTTTCATGAAATAGAAAAAATTTAAAGAAAAAAGGAGAATAAATAATTTTTGAGGGAAATATGTTTATGTCTCGGGCCGCCCGTCGCTCGCGCTGGCCGCAACGCTCGCCGCCCGTTCCGCGCAACCGGAGGAGATCAGTGTTTTTACTAAAAGCGTTGTATTTCGCGCGTGGCTACAGCTAAAGCAAATCAATCGATAATATTACATGGTTTCGAAGAACGGTGTACCGTATTATACGTCCTCATTCGCTTAGATGTATAAATTAATTACTCGATAACTATTGCGAATTTTGAAACGCAGCAAATAAATTTAATATCTAAC